ATATATATATAATATTAAATAAATGACTCATTGATTGAACAAAAAGCTAAAAAAATAATAAAAAAATGACTTTTCAAAGCAGTCATGAATTTTATTTTAAAGGAGATTTACGTAAAAAATTGATTTTTTGGGAAGGGTTGAGATTTTCAATTTATCAAAACAATTTGATTGGCATCACTTTGACCTATAAAAAATAGGTTGAAAACGAGTTGGACTTACTAACCTATTTTCCTTTATTTTTAAAATATTCTTATATTTCTTTTATTAAGGTTTCACTTCAATATATTAATATACAATATTTAAATAAAATAATAGTATTCATTTTGATCCTTTAAATATATAATTATATATATACATTGACTACTAAGTGTAAATAATCACATTTTTTTTAAAATTTTCTATTTAATTTATTGTGTCTAATAAATATTACATATAAAATAAAATAATAAATTATTTTTTAATCAATAAACAGGTTAACTCCTCGGATAAAAAAGCAGATTAGAATTTTAAACTCACTTTTCTATCTGAGCGAGTAGCCCAAGTTCACCCCTATAAATATTGGATGTAAACATGAATTTTGAGTATTGCAATAAGTTAAACTTCATGTAATACTTATTTAAATATATTATTCGATGGTTACCATTTTCATGATCGTGCATTACCTGAAAACATTGCGACCATATACCAACTTATATTTTCACAACAATATTACATTTCACGGGTTGGCCACTAGTAATTTACAAAATTCCTATAATTTCATTAAGTCTTTCATTAGTTGTTTGGTGGATCAAAGAATGACTCAAGTTCAAATAACAAGTGTTTGGTACGTGGGCAAGCTACATTAAAACAATACAGAATATCGAATGATTAGACAAGGTATACCCGAACCCCTTACAAAAGTTCGTAATTGTCACCATTTTCTTAATTACATGGCACACGAATGTTAAGAAAGTGTCACATTCAGCGCACGTGTGCCATAAAGGATGCTTCAGCATTTTGCTTTGCGTCTAAGCTGCTTTCTACTGCTTCAATAGGAATGTGAAAATAGTTAAGAGAAAAATATTTATTTATATGAGAGGGAAAAAGAATACTCTTTTTTGTTATAGAAGAGTTTTATGGATAAAAAACACAGAGGGTACAGTGGGATTGAAGCGTAAAGTGAAGTTGAGTTATGTTTTTTCTTTTCTGAAGGTCCACACGCTCTAAGACAGGGTTACAAAGAGCTAATGGGAAAGAAAATTGTTATAAATTACAAAAGTCCAACTACTTCCACCGCAAAGTTGAAAGCTCAACTTAGATTTTCCCCCTACGCGTCAAAAGCTTCATCGCATCAAGATAAGCTATAAACACCATCCTCAAAATATTATTAAAATTATATTTTATGTTATCTAAATAAGTTTAAATTTGAACAAGATATGTAAAGTCAGAATTAACTATAATTTTTTTATAAAATTTTTAATGAAATTATATATCATCTATCCTTTCTTATGAAAAGATATAAAATACAAAAAAAATTAAAATAAAGAGAAATAAAGAAACTTAATCAGCTAATAGTGAAAATAATTTATAACAACTTCTATAAACAATTTTCTCCCATTTATTTATTATTATTTCCGAGTTTTTGGAAATTGTCTGATTCTTACTAGTTACTAGATAGCAATCTGTTGATTTTTCATCCCTTATATTGTGCTTTATATATTCAAAGGTCAGAGCAGTATTATATATGTATAGTCTCGTCACGACAATCATATCTTAACAAGATCCACCTTTTTTCTCATTCTTCAAAGTATATCCTTTTTTCTGCAAATCTATTTTTCCATCTTTTATCAGATTCATCATCATCATCATCATCTGTTTATTATTTAAACTATTATACTTGAAGCCTAATGAAGGATATAATAATCCCACAAAACCCATTAAAAATTCCATAATAATTTAGGCATGAACCAAGCAATATTCAATGATTTGAAAATTAAAGTTGCGACTTATAATGCAAAAGCCTTTGATTATAACTATCTTTTTCGTGTGTGTTCAACTTGGTGAACAGTCCTCCACCAACCTCGCCCTGCCTATAAGATCTGGCACGAAACATGCAGACACAGACACTTAATTTGTTACAGTCATTAGGTGTTAGTTAAGGAAGTAGATAGCACGGTCTCATTGTGGTGGCAGCAAACCCAATAACTCGCTCCAAACAAACCCTTTCTCCCAACACCTTCGCCACGTGCCACCAACACAATACTTATTATAATGAAACGCAATTCGACCGTATTTTTTACATCATTATTACGTACGAAACTTTATGCAAAGTGAAATTAGTATGCGATATGCAAAACTAAAGATAATTTGGTAAACATGGTGTGGACCATGCTGATGTTGTCGGCATTTGCATTAATCCATAAGTTCAGAAGTAGAAGTCTACAACTTAAAAAACTGGACCCGTAAGTACTAACCCACATGCGAGTGCGCACACACTTGACAGGATTAATGTGATACCATTTGAGTTTCGTGGAATAATGCGTCAATCACAGTAACTAGGTAAAATAATTAGAGAGTATAGTAACAATTTTGTCTGAATGAGAGAATAATGTGTCAATACGTTGGTTTGAATATTATATAACAAGGTTTAAATCAAACACACAAATTAAAGAGGACGTGTAATGCCTTAATGTCTAATCTAGTTTTGCAATAGTATTAATAATTAATCAGCAATTACTACGTCCTTAAGCATTTTAATTGGAGTATGACTTTTTTGGGTTGGAAGTACTATAGTATGACTCGGATCCAAAAAAGCTGGAGGCTGAATAGGACATGTTGCTCACCGGTTTCTTTTTTTCTTTTACACATCAGGAAAAGTCCCTTTACCAGACCTACGCAAGTTAGGCATGACATAATGTTCTTTTTACTAGAAAAAATATATACTAAAATTGATCTTAGTTGCAGTGATTATTATTATTATTATTTGCATTAAAGTAAAAGAAAAAGAAGGAACAAGTAGAATAATGAGAATATAGAAAACGGTTTTGTCAAAGTTGTGAAGAGTTTTCATACAATAGGCCAAAAGACGCATCACAATCACAACACCTAACAGAGAAGTGGGAAAAGAAGAGAGAGCGCAGCCAGATACTTAACGAATTTCATACGCTCTTGCTATCTCATGCTTTCCTTATAAAACCCCTCCTTTTGGCTTCAAAACAACCCCACACCTAACTCCTCACTCCTCACACCTGCTCACACCCTTCTTCTTCCCTTGGTGTGTTCCAAAAGAATAACCCAAACACAAAGCAACAAATTCACAAAAATGAAGAGTGATACAAACAGCCCTACTTCCTCTCCCACATTTTCTCACTCTTCTAATAACAATATCGCTTCTTCCCCTCCCCAAGTTGTCATGAGCCCTTGTGCTGCTTGCAAAATTCTGAGGCGAAGATGTGCTGAAAAATGTGTCTTGGCACCTTATTTCCCTCCCACTGAACCTGCCAAGTTTACCACTGCCCACAGAGTCTTCGGTGCTAGCAACATCATCAAATTCTTGCAGGTACTCTACCTAACTAGTAACTATATACCTTTCTTCACTTACAAATCTTTACTTCACCTTCATGTTTTCACGTCTCAACTTTGTTTAATTGTTGTTATAGATTCCACATCCACTGACTATAGTATATATAAGTGAAAAATAATTTTTTTTTATAAATTAATTTCATGAAATTGAGTTAGACATGCTGCTATTTTAACAATTTTTGAAAGCTAATAACTATTTTTCACATAATTACTTCTTGACAATTACAAAGATTATAACAGAATGTAAACCTTTTGAAGTCGTTAAGATATATTATTATGACGAACATGTTCATTGTATCTGTGACATGATGACATCATGATGATTCTGCATAATGTTATCAAACACTTTGCATCATGTTCTTTATGTTGATATTTTCGTTCTAACTTTAAAGATTTAGTGATGTGCTAACAAACGATAGGAACTTCTCCATTATTGAGTGGCAAATCACTATTCCACTTGTCAGTAGACCTCACCAAAATCCTTCAAATCTCAAATCAATGGAATGCCTAATTTTAAACGATCCCATGAAACTTCAACACCGACGACAAAATGTACAGAACAATTGTAATTGCATACATGTTTATTTTATTTCCTTCGGTGGGAAATTTGTACCTTTGACTTATTACTCAACCTTTGACACGTATATGTGTATATTTCTAATATGATATAATTATTTTTTTCTCTGGTCAAAAACTATTTTACTTGCTTAAAAATTTTCAACGACCTAATCTTAACGAAACCTTATGGTATTCACAATTTTGACATAAAATCGATTTAATGCTTTAAAACAACACAATTAACAATAATTTTTTTAAAATTAGTTCTCATAACCAAGTAATCAAATTAATTTTTTTTACTAAAAAGTCATGGTCTCACTAATACATAGTTTAATTTCTTTAAATAAAGTTAAGTTTGAGACTTCCTTAAGAATGATTAGTCAAATTTTTTTACGAAGATTAATTATCGATAAAGTTAGTAGATACTTAAGCTAATAATATTTTTGTTTACTTTGGTTTTCCAGGAACTTCCGGAGTTTCAAAGAGCTGACGCAGTGGCGAGTATGGTTTATGAGGCTAGTGCAAGAATAAGAGACCCAGTATATGGATGTGCAGGTGCAATTTGCCAGCTCCAGAAGCAAGTGAATGAACTTCAAGCACAATTAGCAAAGGCACAAGCTGAGGTTGTGGACATGCAATTCCAACAAGCCAATCTCTTGGCTCTAATTAGCATGGAAATGTCACCTACTCCACAGGAATCACCACAACAATCTGTCGACAACTTCATTTCAAGTCCTTCCCACAGCATTGACTATCAAAACAGTTGCAATTTCTTTGAGGAGATGGCCAAGGCCAACCTAAACTCTATGTGGGAGCCTCTTTAGACATGAGCAAGAAGGAGACTTATGCTAGACTTTTTCAAATAGTGTTCCCATGACATTCTCCTAAGGAGAAGTAGAAGGAATCTAGTAGAACTAATAAATTATAAAAGTAACTTTGGTAGCTAGAACTCTTGTAGTTAGGTTGATTCCCTCTGTGGCAGATTTTGCAGAAAATAATGTTATTCTGGATCTAGTCTCTTTGCACAAGGTTGGCAAAGTAATTAGGTCCAAAATTATCATTTAAAATGTTAGATGATTTTTCTGAAACATGTAATCTTTGCAATATTGAAGAAATTAGGGGAAATGTTATGTTTTAGTGTGTTTGTGTGCGCTGATATTTTGAATCTAAATCGCTTTTTTGGTCACCTACTATAATCATTAAAAAAATTGATCTCTCATGAATGCTTAAATTCCTTGTCAAAGTAACTTTTGACCTTCTTGTGGCTTTGGATTCTATTGTGTACCGGGGGTTACCACACACATACACATGTCTCTACATTGATAAGATATTGTCTGCTTTGGGCCCAAGTTCTCACGGTTTTGTTTTTGTACAACGAAAACTACGAGTATTATCCGATGATGGCCCACAGAGTTCACTCATGCTCTAAGTGCTTGGATCTTGCCAACCATCATACTCGTCGAGCCAGTCACCTGATCAGATCATCGGCTCTAATACCACTTGTTGAGCATTAGGGGGTTACCATTATTTTTGGACATCACTCAAAAGGCCTCTCAACCAATAAAGACAATTGTGTGTATATAAACTCATGTCCATCCTTTTATTTGAACCTACGATATGGAACTTTGCTTGCATCCCAACAGATTCATTATATGCCGAAACCAAATTTTCATTTGTAGATATGATGTCAATCAAAACACAAAATCTAGGCAATGTCGAGATGGAAGACCGAACAACAACCAAGTATAGCCCGATAGGCTTCAATATAAATAAACCATAATTCATAGAAAACACTAGTATTATTCCATTTAAGAGCGACTTGTAACTAATATTTTGAGAGATAGAAAAACTCCATGATACCTCTTGGTTGTACATGGCATAGATAATGTTTGGCAACGAAAGAAAATAAAGAGAAAACGAAGAGGAAAGTTGACTTTAAGAAACACAATGTTAACATTTTCTTTCCTCTTACTTGTCTTCTAATTTAAATTTAAATTTATTAGAGAAATTCAATTTGATTTGTTTCTTAATTTTTTTTATAAGTAAACAAGTTTATACGCGCACTAGCAAATTGTATAAATTATATATTTGACTCCTTTTAGAGTAGGGATGTAGGTTAAATCTAAAAAATAAAATGTAAAATGTAGGATCATAATTTATATACCTACATAAAAATTATAAAATAATTAAATTCTCAATTAGTATTATATATCTATAATTTGGTACTATATCATTTTAAGTACACTCTTTATTCTTGATGAGTTAAATTCCTTTGATTTGAATCTTGATGGAGAGAAACAATTATATGATGAACAATTGCAAGGTACATATGAAGGTTTGGAACTATAATCAAAACATGTTTATGGTTATGATGGCATGTGTGTCTCCCTTAAACGCGTTTTCTGGGGCTATAATCCAATCATGTGCTGCCCACGTGAGGTGAGGTATATAAAGGAACCCAACCATACAATATTGTCACCTGTCGGCAACTTAATTACTAATGTCCGTCATTCTCGTCATCGTGGACGAAAACGAACACTTTTTTTTTTTTTTCTCACCAACATGTCATTATTTTTACTGCGTGAAGAAGGGAAACACATTTGCTTTTTATTGACTCAAAGTGAGCCTATATTACATCTTAATCGCGACTTATACAGTACATTCCGTTAATTAGTCTATTTTGAATAGTTTCCGTAAAATTTGTTATTTTTCGAAAAGTCATTTCTAGATAAACATAGCGAAGAATAAACAATATATAAAGACAACAATGTAGGCATCAAATTCCGAAAAGGATGGTATATGTCAAATCCATGTATGGGATTGGAAGGCATAGGGATTTTTCCATATGAAGAAAATTAATTACGAAGAAGATATGAAAAGGGCTTTGGTTTAAAAATAAAATCACGGTTTACGATTCCTTTCCCTCCAATACTACATTCTTTATTATATATATATTGATTAAAATTTATTAAAAAAAATAAAAAAACTAAACTTGCAAAGTTTTATAATTTTTAATTTCGATTCAAAAGTGAAAAGTGTGCTAAAAAAAAGTTTGTTAAAAAATAAATTATTATATAATGCTAAATTATCACGTATTCATAATTCCAACTAATCTCTAAATTAATAACAATCGGCAATACGAGTTTCTTTTACTATATTGAAAATTTCTGTTATATGTTGCAAGCGTAAATTGATCATGATGATAGACACATGTTGTCAATAACTATATAATAATATTTTGGGTTAGAAAATGTATTAGCGTCAGTCTTATTCTTTTAGGGCTTATTTTACATGTTTTGATAGTAAAAATATCTTTACACAACAAATAAATTAAAATTTATCAGACTACTTTTCTTTGTCATCTTATTTATTCGTATAATATAATATGACAATAAGATATATATGGAAGGATATAACACTCGATCGCAGTGTATCTAATTAATTTAAACTCATGTTTTTTTTTATTTGATTTCTCTTTGTGAATCTTTCATAAAAAATTGAACCTTATCTTTCACTGGAGACTTGGAGTACCCTCAAAAGTCAAGCCATCAACATAAATTCAACAGAGTAGGCTTTAATTAACATATTCGGTACGTGTTCCAATATAGAGTACAAGTTCAGAAACAATACAAAACAACTCCTCGTTCAGTCATAGATTAGTCATATTGACTCATTGTACTTCCTCGGTATTAATTTCATGTTTTTGTTAATGACGCTGGAATGTAAATAGGAAAAGTTAGAATAAATCATTCATATGTTTAAATTCTATAATTAAAATGTTGAAAATATACTCTAATGTGTGCCCTCTCCTTTGATTTTGGTTTTTCTCAAGCCATTAACGTGCATGCGTAACATGATTAACAAATAATGCTTTTAATTATAACAGTACACAGCCCTTTTTTTTTTTTTTTTTCGTTCACTCAAATGTTGATGTTTTAACTGTTTCCTGATTTCTTACGAAATGGTACGTGTCGACGTGTCGTTTCGTGATGTACGTACAATTTTGTATGCATAGAAACTCTGAATTACATAAAGAAACAAAATGTGCTTGGCATCACTTGGTAGCCAAATCTAGCTTCCAGAAGAAGTATGCGATCATTTTGATAGTAATGTTGTTTCTTCTTCAACTTCTGCGTTTAACATGATATTCACTTGCCAGCATATTCAAAAAATAAGTGCCACTGTTGTACCCAAAAAAAATATATAAATCTGGCAACTAAGAATTAATAAACTTCATAAGTTATGACTACCATAAACAAAATTTGAACTTGTAATTAAATTATTGAATACAAAATATTATATATGGAGCACGGTTTCTATACATTATTTCTCTTTTGGAGTAAAAAAATAGGCGTGTACTGTGGTGGGTTCTGATGAATCCACATTAATTAGTGGCATTAGGTTGAGTCTGAATCCACCTATCGATGAAAGTTTGAAAACGACGAAAGTAGAATTATTTTGTTCACATAGGAATCGCGATGGATGAAAGAAATCGAAATGGGTAAAGTTGTATAGATTGCAGGCTCTAGGACAACATAATATTTGGTCTGTACCAAAAAGTAATCCTAAATCTTAATGATATTCATACATTGATTTGGTTGTCGAAGTGGGAACGAAGACTTGTATTAATTTTTTCATCTGCAAACGCCTTTGGTTTTTGCCGCAGATTTATAAGTACCACCCACTTTTTTGCGTTAATGAATGCGCAGTCTTTTGCCATATCCGTTTTCATATATGCATGCTTCATTATAATATACTTCGTAAAAGGTAACCAATACATATCACCATAAATAATGTTGACTCAAGGTCGCATGCACTATATGTATTAATGCTCATACAACTTTGGTTCCGAGTCAATGATCATCGTCAGAATGTATAGGGTAAATTAAACCTGCATTCTAAAGTTACAATTAAAAGTTATATTCGTTGGTAGAAAAAATTATACACTGTTAATCAATTAAAAGTTACAATTTTATGATTTTAAAGTGATTATTGTAAAAATAAACCTACTTATGAAACATGCATTTGTTATCGAATAACAACGCAAAAAAATTGCATATTACATAAACTATTTTCTCAATTTTTAATATAATTTTCGTTTTTTTGATTTTATGAAAATACTGTATTTGTTAATGCCTTAATGAGTATCTTTTTAGTATTTAGAATCATTAAAATCAACCAAATCGACTTAATGATAGTAGTTGAAACAGTATCTTTGTGGCACTCATCAGTAAATGCACTATGTGAATGGTCTCCCAATAGAGAGAATTTTTTTCGTTTCCAACATTTGGCCGATAATTAATTTTAAACACCTCATTATTGGTTTTAAAACTTTAGAAATTAAATGAAACATCATGTATATCAATATAAGTAAAAAAAAAAAAAAACTTTATTTCATCTTGTAAATTTTATAAATTAATAATGATGGCTCAAAATTAAAATTTTGTCAACATTAAACCTTAAATAGAAAACATTATTGTAAAAAACCGATTTAATTACATTAAAATTGATTAAAATGCAATCCATATTTAATTTACTTGTGGCATTTATTGTAGAAGTTCATAGAAAATTAATGCGGCTGTTATGTTGTATGTGTGAATACCTTAATTTAATTTTACTTATTCAATTAGCTAGGCAGTTTCTGGATAGAAGATTTCAAACTTCTAATAAATTTTTCTCGGTCAACAAAGACTCAAATTTGTTGACTCTGGAGTCCGGAGTTACATTTTCTCTGCTCTGGTGGAAACCCAATTTATCCATTTTATGAACTTTTAACATTTACATGATTTCTATTTTATTAACTGTGAAATGATTTTTTTTTATAAGCAAAAAACATAATATTAAGAAAATAGAGTACAAAAGGTACTCCAACCTATATACATAGTTAAGACAACTGTTAAATACATATCAGTGGCTCATTTATGAAATAATTAATTTAATGTAACAATTATTTTTAAAACACTAACAAACACAAGATATTAGTTTTTTGACCAGCCCTTTAATTTATTTAGTTTTTAGTATATGAATCAATAATTGACTTGCAGAGTTAAACTAATGGTGTTTTATGTATATGGATCGCACTCATTTTTTTTCCAGGTAATATCGAGGGTTCAAACAATCGCATGCCTAATGTCGATTACATTCATTTTAGTATA